TACTCCAACCACTTCCAGTACCACAACGACCATGGTCCCATATTGCCATTGATTTTATCACTGATCTTCCTCCATCCCAGAATTTCACCACCATTCTCACAGTGGTTGACCGGTTCTCGAAGGCTTGCAGGTTCATTCCGTTGGCCAAACTCCCCACAGCCCTACAGACAGCCGAAGCTTTGGTGCAACAGGTGTTCCGGATGTACGGATTACCCGAGGATATCGTGTCGGACAGGGGTCCTCAGTTCACTTCTCGGGTATGGCATGCTCTCTGTGAACGATTGAACATTAATGTCAGTTTGACTTCCGGATATCACCCACAGGCCAATGGGCAGGTAGAGAGGCTTAACCAAGAACTCACACGTTTCTTACGGACATACTGTAACCAGAACCAGCAGGATTGGAGTCACTTTCTGGTATGGGCCGAATACGCTCAGAACTCCTTACGCAAGCCTTCTACAGGTCTTACTCCTTTCCAATGTATACTGGGTTATCAACCGCCTCTATTTCCCTGGTCAGGGGAGCCCACGGACCTTCCAGCCATTGATGCTTGGCTACAGAAAAGTGAAGAGACTTGGAATAATGCTCATGTGCATCTACAACGTGCAGTTCGACGTTTCAGAGAACAAGCAGACCGTCATCGGAGAAAGGGTCCCAACTATCAACCAGGACAGTGGGTCTGGCTTTCATCCAGGGATCTACGCCTCCGTCTTCCCTGCAAAAAGCTGAGTCCTAGGTACGTGGGTCCATTCAAAATTCTTAGACAAATTACCCCTGTGTCATACCGTCTTGCTCTACCATCTACTTACCGCATATCTCCCACTTTCCATGTCTCATTACTCAAACCCGCCGGAGCTCCGAGTGGAGAGAGGGACCAGGACGAGGTTGCGGAGACGAGCTCCCCTCCCATCATCATCGAGGGTGAGGAGGCATACCGTGTGAGGGAGATTCTCGACTCAAGACGCCGAGGCAGGGAACTACAGTATCTCATCGACTGGGAGGGGTATGGTCCTGAGGAGAGATCTTGGGTAAAGTCCCATGATATACTTGATCCTACACTGATCTCCGAGTTCCATCAGCAACACCCCACCAGACCTGCTCCGAGACCCCGTGGAAGACCTCGGCGTCGCACGCATCCTCGCTTCAGGAGCCGCTCGCAGGAGGGGGGCTCTGTCATGAATCGCACCTCTGTGGCTCTCTCCGCTCAACCCAGAGCTCCGTCTCCTGAGTATTAAACTCCATTTCCCATAAGCCCCGTACCTAGCGCTGATTACCGGCACAGGTGAACCTCATTCCCCGTTCTATATAAACAGCCCGTTGACTCTTCATCAGTGCGAAGTCTTGTTTTGCCCCGGCGACATTTCTGAGCGTTTCTCTACCGATTATTCTGGATTCCCTGTGTACTGACCCTTGACTGTTATTGGATTTGATTCTCTGTTTGCTGCCTACCCTGACCCTTGCCTGTTCTCTCTGGATCACGATCATTGCCGCCTGTCCTGACCCCTGCCTGGTATCGTTTATGCTCTTGGACTGCCTGTTCTATGTTTGATGCTGATTGTTGACTCTTGCTTGTTTGACTACTCTTAATAAAGACACTGCATATGGATCTGCACGCCTCTGACCCTTCGTTACAGCAGCACTATAATAAGTTAATTTTGTTTTTCTACTGTTGACTTGTCCAGATACATTAAAGGTTCTCAAAGCGATCCTGGGTGTTGACGTTCGAATATTTTCAAACAAATCGGAGCTAGACCCTCCCTCCTCCGCATCTCATCTCCTCCCCCTCCCTTCCGTGCTTCCTGAAATAATTGTGAACGTGCATAATTCTAGCTAATTATATCCTTGTGTGGGTTTGGCGAACATAAGCGTCAATTTAGAAGAAAAAAAACAATTTAACGTTACCCACCTGTCCAGCAAAAACAGAGCAACCTGAATGTCGGACTGGAAGCCCTTCTGCCGCAGGAGTTCTCGCCATCGTTCAAAAGCTTTGCTACCGATGTAAATTCGGAACTTCGCACGTTCTTTATCCGACTCCTTCTTCTTTTTATGTTCCTCAGAACGACGTCTCTTTGGTCGTGTGTCGTAATTTTTCAAACTTCCCTCTGATGCTTCGCTGCTCTCCTTTACACACACACACCCTTGTGCACGCGCACTAACCCCCCAGACCCACCCTCAAATACTTCTTGCCAGTGATTGGCTGGAACACTGCTTGTTAGGTTTCGTGGTCCGGGTAAGACATGATTGTTTTTGTTGCCGTTTGTGGAGCCTGTGGTGTCTACAGAGACCGCGTTTTTTTACAGTGTGTTTAGGGGACAGGCAACTAGCCGATAGTGAGGAGACGTTTGATGTATGTGACAAAAAATGTTTTGGCCCCACATCGCTTAGACAACCTTTAAGGCTACAATAAAAAATCCTCTGAATTTGTCTGTGGCTCAGAAATAAAATGGCCATATATAGTTTTATTTCTGTTAGAAACAGTATACCATTCACTTAATTTATTGGGCAAGGCCCATCTCCTCTGAAGTTCATTCTGAAAATGAGGATACAGATAATGTTTGTTAAATTCCACTGACAGGAGACACACTTATTACAAAACTCATTTGTTTTTGGATATTGAAATATATCACATTTAGAAGACGTGTTCTGTTCTGCACAATTTGGAAATTTCTTCCTTTTTCTGATGTGCTTGGCTCTGATTACTGTACTTTCTAATTGTTTTTGGACTTTTATAAAAACCACCTTTAAGTTTACGATACATATAAACATTTATTATCAGATATATATAGAGCAGATACAAAAACGTGTTAGGAACTGTAATAGTACAAAGTGCACAAAAAAGTACAATCAGTATCGACTGTTCATCAGTAGGCACCAAATAAATATTTTTCTCCAATATACATGTACACAACAAAATGGAGGCTGATTTTAAAACACACAAAAGACATAGCAAATATCAAACTGTAAATGACAATTCAGGAAATTTAGTTTATGGCTAGTTTAGGGCTTTAGGGCTAGTGAAGTCTATAGGGCAATAAATCAAAACAAATCAAATCAAATAATAGGATTAAAACTGCCCACAGGTCTACAGAAACATGTCACTTTCAAGAAATACGTATAACTGTATGCAAACCTGATGCTCTCACTCTTGAAAACGACTCTAATAGCAAAAAAAAAAACAACAACAACAAAAAAACAATCTACTTCCTCTAAAGAAGCTTCTGCTTTTTGGTAAATGTGTTGATATATATGTATATTTGACAGTTCAGAGAGAAAATCAGCTGATTTGAATAACTTGTACCATGATCAAGCACATTTAGATGAGAGGTAGTTTGATGTGTTCATTCGCCACACTTTAAAATACAGCAACTCTTAACAACCAAAAAGGCAAGAGACACAAACACTCTAAACGAATGCTTTCCACTGGTTACACAGCCTTACAGAGTCAAGGACAATCTGGCTAGGTCATCCATCACCATTATCATCATCATCATCATCATCAAATATCTACAAATCCACATAATCTAAAACTACAGAATGATCTTTGTGGATAACCTGTAATTTTACATCATTGGACAGCACTGATTATAGACGAATCCGGCGAAACTACCGGAAGTAAGTGGGCGCCATTACTGAGCTGTTGCTGGGTAGCGTTGCGCCATTGCCTCCTATTGTTTTAGTTGCAACTTGCGTCCACTGGAATAAACAGCCCGCGATTTACGACTGTCACTAAAGTTACAACGTTAGCCCTTGTATAATGTCGAGTGGGTAAACAGTTTCCGTTATAAATTGTTTCAATGGTGGCAGTAAAATTTCAATTTTGAAGAGAAAACATTGTGAATACCCCGGGTCGACTGCCCCTGTCTGGAGCCGTACGGTTTACAAAGATTTCCTGGGCGAGTACAAGACGCGGACATTCGCGTATAATAGCAATTATTTAATGACATAAGTAAAAAATATAATAAATATGTGATATAGTGATCAACAAAATCTCCTCTCTTGCTATTTTTTCTATTCAATTAACATGCTATGGTCATTAAATGGCTTTCCTGAGCTAAATGTAACGTTATGTGACATAATTGTTCTCCTGCTGTTATATTGACCTCTTTCCATGGTTTAAAAACACTAATTGGTCGATATTATGTATACTTTCTAGCTGTAACGTTACCTTACCCTTGCCCGTTGCAATTTGAAAATGAGATAAATAATGGACACAAATGAAAAACATGAATTTGTTTATTTGATTTCATTCATTTATTTATTTATTGTTGCCAAATGGACAGATCTTTTTTTATAGTTTCCTCGTTAGCAAACGTTAGCCTAGCTAGCTTGCCAACTTGCCAAGCTATTTGGTAACACTTTATTTCGATAGTCCACTTTAGACATTCCACTAACTATAAGTAACTTTTCAACAACATGTCAACTAACTGTCATTAGAGTATTAGTAGACTGTCAGCTTAATATCTGCCAACACTTTATTTTGTTGGTCTCCCAACAGACATTCAACTGACTACAAGTAACTTAGCGACTACAAGTCAACTTATTCTCCTAACCCGAACCCTAACACCTAACCATAACCTACCAGTCTACTGACAGTCTACTATAATATACTAATACTCTAATGAGAGTTAGTTGACATGTAGTTGAAAGTTATTTATAGTTAGTTGAACATCTAAAGTGACTATCAAAATAAAGTGTAACCAGCTATTTTCATAAATAATCTGTAAGATCGTTTGTACCTTCATCTGTGACTGGAGGCCACTGTCTAACATCATCAACCCAACAAGTCATTCTGCCTGGCTGTAGCTGTCATCGAGGGTGCTTTCGCGTTATCACCAGGTTTGTTTACATACCGGTGCACATGTCTATGCCGGTGTAACAGCTCAGTAATGGCGTCGCCACAAGATGGCAGCCTACACAGAACGCTCGTCGGATTCGTCTATACTCTATATATCCAGAGCATGTATTTACAGTAACATAAAACACCTATTTGCCAACCGTGCTGCATTCTTAGTGGGGTTTCTTTATTTCGATTCTCATCTTGATATAGACACCAATTCACCAGATCTTGTGCTCTCATACAACAGATATCTAAAAGTACATTTCAGATTGTGTGACTTTAGCCTAAATTACACACAACAAATACAATTAACCGCCTGTGAGAATGAGAAGGTATACCGTTTTGAATATTCGAGAGAAATGTTCCAATGTGTGTTCAGATCTTGGACAGCAGGCCTGACTCTGGAGCGCTGGCTTTAATGATGTTCTGGATCTCCTTGAACTTTGGGTGCTCCTTATCGGCCACGAGCTGCAGCAGAACCGCCTCACTGGTGGTGATGATGGTCCCAGTGCGCGCCAATCGCTGGGGAACACACACACGCGTTACCTCTCTGCCCACACAGATTATATTATTTTAGTGGTCAAGCAGCAATATTTCTGCAGCTTGACCCTGGATATATGAAGTGTGTTGGAAAAGATTACTGATGCACCGAAACAACATTTTCAACAAATTACAAGCAAGTAAATTCCATTACCCCTTAATTTGCGCAAATTGAAATTGCAAAATGAAAAGACGCGCAATGGAAACTTGTCAATTTCGCAAAAACTCCCGTTTATCGCAAAAAAGTTTTTACGCTCGCATGAGGAGGTATTTCAGGTAATTCGAAAAAGGAATTTTTCGCAAAACTGCAATGGAAACGGGTTTTGCGCATTTACAGTCACCTGACTTAGAAGACGTGGTGTGTTTTTGGGTCTGTGTCTGCAAATAATAATAATTATCATCATTATTATAACATTTATTAGGCTACATATGTAGAAGACGCTTTTATCCAAAAAAGGAACTAAGCAATTGTCACATTTCATTCATAGTACAGGTCGGACAATACTAATACAGGGCTAAGATTATCACAAATAAACACACGATTTTGACAAATATCCAAGTGTGTGTACGGACGGAGTGTGGAGCATGCACTGGATGGCAGGCAGGCGCACGCGCGCCGCAAACACTTGCATTTTCCTATCAACAGTGGAAACAACCTAAAATAATCATTTCTGGTCATGCAGAAAATAATAATACATTATTCGCAACTACTTTTGCATAATGTCACAATAACAAGAAAACGTTGTGCTTTTGTAAAATAAACTAAAAAATATCAGGCACGCTTTTATGGTCTTCGTGAACTGGAGCACGAGAACTGAAACAATATAGCCTTTGTAGACCAAAGCTTGAAATGTCCACTTTAAAAACGAACAAATTCGAAACGTAAGCTAATACCTTCTGATTATGTAATCCGTATGAAAGGTGCATTTCTCTCTAAAGGTGCATCCGGAGATGGAGATATGTTTTTAGCTTATTTATTCAGACACATTTATTATAGACCCTTTTACAGTTGGTAAACATGGTGACGTTTTTTTGTGGGCGGAGCTTAGGTGGAGGTAGAAAGATCCATCTGGCCGCTTCACTAACGCGAGTTAGCAAGGATTGTTAGCTTGTTTTTTAACAATGACTGGAGAAAATCCGATATTATCTTAACGTGTAAGGTCACTCAGTGTCCAGGACCGCGATTGTTATTTCCAAAAGTTATTTTTAACGGACGGAACCAGATTGGCAGACCTGTAGCCGCCTACATGCTCACTCAATGCATGGACGATCTGACAGAATTAACGTAAGTTACCTCGGTTGAGTGGCCTGACTTCTATCTTATAGAGAAACCGATCGTAAAGAGAAACTGGGGGCATATAAATCTTTAGAAGCCTATATGGTCCTGTACAAGACTTGTGTGTACGATCCGCAGTTCTGCCGAGTCAGCGCCGAGACCACGACAATGTAAACAGTGACATTACAGTGCGATTTTAATGATGTGAATATTTTCTAGAAATAAAAGTTCCAGATACAGCATATTCATTTTTCATCAATTCTTGTACCAAACAACACAACAAGATGACATTTAATAATAGTAACAATTATTTAAGCTCCTTATTATGTAGCCGAATCTGTGCTGTTTTGCATTGACCGCCTCCAGTTTTCACTTTGTTTTGCCTCCAGCTAGCGCCGTGACGTAACTGTGACGTCGGCGCAAAAGGGGTCTATAGCCTATAACTCAACTATACATCCCCTTTCTGTAGGCTGTGGTTATGGTTCTTCTCATTCAGCACTGCGGGAAAAATATCATTTCCAGGTTCTAATTTGGCCTTAGAAAACCAGTAAAATCTACATTTTTTTTTTCATATTAATTTGGGAATATTTTAATTGTTTAATAAAGGGGAAAAACGTCATAAAAAAATATCTGAAAATTCGTCGAGATGTATATTTATATATACATATATATATATATCATAGACTGTAAAAAAAGATGGACGACGCCCCTTCGCTCTTTTCCATCAGAGAGAACCGAGGCCGCCAGTGTCTCGATATGACGCTGACATCTTGGCACCTAAGTCTGCGCACTTGCGTGTTTCGGGACCAGTCATGCGTAGTCGTGAGCAGGAAGTAAAGCCGCGAAATCAAGGCCGCGCTCTCCTTCGCGCTGAATCAAACGCAAGCACACGCCCCGCACTTTCATTAAGTGTCCTCTGTCTGCTTCGTTCTTCTCCAATGATGTCTGCTGATTGCAAAACCTCGTTAAAATAAGGTAAATACAACTACTAACCACATAATCAACATTATTAAAAAAAGTCCGCTGGTGCTTTCAGTGACTACCTCGCTCAGAGAACCTGTCAATCACAGCTGTCAATCATGATGTCAGAGCACCGGTTTTTATCATCACATAACTAACTAAAAACAAACTTATTTTAAAAACGAACACTTGAAATTACATCAACGTGATAGAAACTACAGTAAATGACAGAAACTATCTTTGGAAAAAGGTAATGTGTGAAGTGTAATTTAATTGTTTAGTTGGTCTCGCGTCCCATTGAATAACATGGGGAGGCGGGGGTTATGAGCTATACTAGGACCGGTCACAGGGGGGCGATCGAGACGTTTTGGCTTCACTTTTGAGGGCTTGTGCGGCACGCTTGATATATATATATATATATATATATAGCGCAACATTGATGTAAAGGTCAAACTAAAATGTTGGTGTTGCAAACATCAAAATGTAATTTATTAATATGCATTCTTGTACAACATTACATATAAACCTTGTTTCCTATTTATTTATGTATTTTATATATTTTTTGCCTGAAAATGCTTTCAACACGCTTGCGTGTTGCATGAAAAATTGGCGCCGGAGTGTCACGCAGGCATTGTGCAAGCTCTAATTGGTTAACATGGGAGCCGAAATAAAACGGACATGCTGCGCAGCTAAGACACATTCGCCACGCAGCCAGCGTGTCTCATCTCCAGCCTAACAGTGCGCGCGGCGCCGTATCTGAGGATGAACGACTTTAAGCCAAATCTGTCCAAGCTTGAACGTCTCACACAATCAGAGCATAAAAATATGGGATATTTTACGCGAAAATACTAAAACGGGAAGACAGCGGGAAAAGAGCTAAAATACTAGCCTGGGAAAACCCAGACAACTTCCGGCACATTTAGATTTGCTCTGAAAGTTAGTCTGGCAAAGAGGTCATTCAAGCCCATTTCCAATACTTCGAAATCGAGGCACCATACAGAAACGTTGGGGTTTACACAATGATGACAGCACTGGGATTTTGAAGCAGATTTTGTAGTCTACGTTACAAAGATGGATGCCGCCATCGAACATCACTCGCGTCTGTTTTAAGCGATTTGAACGTTTCCTTTTTATTAAAAACCAAGCAAAGAACAACACTCGGAGATGATTCTCCACCACTCTGCATACGTCATCTCCTTCACCGCTCTGATTGGTTTTAGGTCTATCCGCGACGTCCGTTGGTGACGCCCCTCTGGAAATGATTAGTCAATGACACTTTGCCAGATCATAACTCAGTTACAACTGAGAATGGTCTGGTTTTAACCAGGCTACTAATATACGTGAGAAACCACGCAAAAGAAATGGGAGGGTTGAGAGCTATGCACATAAGCAGATGGTTCAAAACCGTGCGTACAGATGTCATGATTGATCATGCATCGAGTTTGACACGCTGTCAACACTTTCCAATTGATATTTGCACATTTGATATGCTGACTTCCACTTCCCAGAATTGCTCAGGGGTCACTGACTCCTCCTCCTAAACCCCATGATCCATCTTACCTCCAGGGCAAACATTCGGTCCATCATGCTTCTGGAGGACGTGGCATCAGCAACAATGTGCACTTCAAAACCTCTTCCGATGAGATCCAGAGCGGTCTGCTGAATACACACGTGCGTCTGCAAGACACAAAGCACTCATTCAGAGTCTCCTGTCAGCCATTTTGGGTTTCGTCCATGATCACGCCGATCTCCAAGAAGACAGTACTGACCTCGACCCCGAACAGCACCACACTACGGACTCCTGGAGCCTCCGCCAGTACAGCCTCCACCTCAGGAAGGACCATGGAGAACTTGGTCTTGGGAAACACTAGTTTGGCCCCAGTGAGGTCCAGCTCCTGCACGGTGCTGCCCAGGCCTTTGGGATACTGCTCCGACACCACCACGGGAACTCCCAGAAGACGAGCACCCTGCAGCTGTGCAACCGCACACCGACAGATGTTCAGACACGGCATTGAGTCACATTTATTTATATAGCGCTTTTTACAATACAGACTGTTTCAAAGCAGCTTTACAGAGAGAACAGGAAAATAATGCAGCAAAGTTTGTTTAGAAACAAATAGCGTAACAGTTCAGTTGTCAGTAATAAGTAAAGACACGTAATACGCATGTGCATGCCGTCAGCGTTCTCACAGGTTTGCGTTTTTGAAGTGTGCGCAGAGATAACCTTTTTTCCCCAAAAATTTTCAAGGCTTACACCTTGCAACCTGTTTCATGGTTTTGTTCTTGAGCCCCAGGCACTGCTGTTGTGTGGATGGGCAGCCAGAGCGCATTAAGGGTTTTCAGTTAGAACGGTGTCGTGTTAGCGGCTCCTAAGTTAATAACTAATGATCTTTGCAGCGGAAGTGAATCGATCAAAACTAACTTTAGTTGGACAATAACAGTATTCTAGAGATGCTGTAAAGCTAAACAATCTCTGTTACTGTCATTTTCTATTATCACTGTAAAGCTGCTTTGAAACAGTTTTAAAAGTGCTATATAATTGAGGGTGACTTGACTTGACTCTTCTAGAGCGCTTATTGGGTGCTCTAAGTTATGGTATTCAGAGATCATGTGCTCATCTGAAAGATCATCAGTATTACCAGCCTCTGGCCCACGCTGATGATGTCCCCGAAGTACTTGATGGCGGGTCTGAATCTCTCTTGCATGTCACAGCAGAAGAACACCGTGGAGGCCGGTGAGAGGTTTCCCAGGGCCGTGATCTGTGAGAAGAGTGGCAACAGTGGAGGCATTATTACAACTCGGACATCTCATGATCCATCCGAGACCAATCAGCACTGAAGCGCTTCCAAATCATTTCTGCCGAGGCTTAAAAACAAGGACAGCAATGACATCATGGAAAAAAGTACTTTTTTACAGTAATACGTGATCGTTCATTGTGGATGATTGGGAAACACTGGGATCATGGTCAGTTCATCATTAGGTCATTCAGATTTATCTAACCAGGACAAGACTGTGAATATATATGTACATACCCCAACTCACATCATTACTATTGAGAACAAGGATTAAACCCTCAAGACTTTAATCCTTATTCACAATAGGATTTAGTAAAACGTCCTGATGGATCAAATTATATATATATATATCATAAGTGTTACGACCCTTCTTTGGCTCGTTCCCATCTAGGGAATTTTAGAAGGGGAACACAGAACCGGTTCAATGAAACCTCTCTATGGACCACTTAATGTGTTGAGAAAACACGAGAGACACTCAGAGATATAATGAAAAATAATTTAATAGTAAATAAGTTGGTTAACATAATATGTGAAAAAGGGCAAAAGGAAAAAGGGAAACAGGATTTGTGCCAAATAAACGAAAGTAACATAAACAATACTAACTAGACCATCTCCAATCTAAACCTAGACTAAAACAAAAGAACAAAGAAAAAGTCTTCAACGTCCTAGACGCCGTGTCTAAACTACACTAACTAATAACAAAAATACAGGGGGTGGCACAAATCTCTAACCTAGTGAATATAGACACACAGAAAAACCTAAGTGTGCAAAATGTATGTCACGTGACATTCTTACCTATTCCCTTTTCTCCTTCCCAACTAATCCAGCCTTGCAAAGCTGCTTAACAGACTCAAAATCTCACAAATGTGAAGTTTCAGGGAAAACTCGAAAGGCAAGCATAACATGACAAAATAAAGCAACACTTAACAGAACTAAATCAACTGGAGAGAAAACAAAAAAAACAAACATCTCAAAACAAAACCAAAGTCTCTCAAAGCAAACACAAAAATCTCTCTCTCTTCCCGCAGTTAGCACGCGTCTTAAGTAGGGCTTCTCCAGGTGTCGCGCATCGGGCTGATGAAGATCCCGCCTCCCAGGCAAACCCGCTCATTACGCTGATTGACAGGTGTTATAGCCAATCAGCGACGACCTGCGAAAGCGAAAGTAAGGAAGAGAGACAAAAGAAAAACACAAACCTCGAAGGAAAACAATCTAACCGTCCCTAAGGACGTAACACCCCCACAATTAAGATCAAACTCAACGTTTGAAAAAAGAAAACAACAACATTAAAGATCATATAGAGTAAAAGCACAGACATCATGAACTCAAACCCTAGAAAGAGTATCAGCAAGAATGTTTTCTGAACCTTTCTTATGACGGATATCCAAGTGATAATTCTGCACAAACAAGGCCCAGCGCATCAAGCGTTGGTTTGCATTACACATGCGCGACAGAAAAACAAGGGGGTTATGATCAGTAAACACAATGGTAGGTAAACTGGAAGAACCCAGATAGACCTCGAAGAATTGTAAAGCCAATAGCAAAGCTAGCGTTTCCTTTTCGATGGTGGAATAATTTGCTTGATGTTTATTGAATTTACGAGAAAAGAAACAAACTGGATGATCGACGCCATCCGTACCCTCCTGAATCAGGACAGCTCCAGCGCCGACTGCGCTCGCGTCGACCTCCAGCTTGAACGCCTGATTAAACTGTGGGGCTGCCAGAACGGGACTGGTACACATCAACGCCTTAGCGTTTTCAAATGCAAACTGGCATTCCTCATTCCAGACAAAAGTCTTCTTAGGGCTGAGAAGATTAGTGAGAGGAGTTACCACCGTAGCAAAATTTTTACAAAAACTTCGGTAGTAACCAATCATACCCAAAAATCGCCTCAACTCTCGCCGTGTAACAGGAACAGGAAACTTTGTAATAGCAGCAACTTTCTCATCTACCGGCTTTACTTGTCCATTACCCACTTGCTTTCCCAAATAGGTCACAGTGGCCTGACCAAACACACACTTGGCAAGGTTAAGTGTTAAGGAAGCACTTTCTAAACGTTCAAACACGGTACGCAACAAAGACAAATGCTCTTTCCAGTCATCAGAAAAAATTACCAAGTCATCCAAATATGCCTTGCAATTTGGTACGCCAGCGAGAACAGTTTGAACCAATCGCTGAAATGTAGCAGGTGCGTTTCGTAACCCGAACGCCATAACGTGATATTGTAGAAAGCAATCCGGAGTCACGAACGCAGATATGTCAGATGCTCTTGATGTTAAAGGTACCTGCCAGTATCCTTTAAGCAAGTCAAGTTTGCTAACGAATCTAGCAGAACCGATACTGTCAACGCAATCCTCCATTCTAGGGAGCGGATAACAATCAGGCACGGTGACAGCATTGACTTTCCGGTAATCCGTGCAGAAACGAAACGAACCGTCAGGTTTCTTAACGAGAAGACACGGGGAACTCCACGGACTGTAACTATGGCGAGCTAAACCATTCTCTAATAGATAGTCAGTTTCTGTCTTCATAGCAGCCCTCTTAACCCCATTAACTCGATAAGGATGCTGCTTTATTGGTTTCGCATCTCGAACATCAATATCATGCTGCAACACCCCAGTCTGAGATGGTACATCAGAAAACAGAACGGGAAACGATGTAATAAGATCAACCACGTCCTGTCGTTGCGCGTTAGGTAGAGAGGATAAATAAGATGACAGATTGGACAGAATGGCGGAATTTCCCAATTTACTACATTGTTGTGGAGTATTTCTCAATACCAACTCATCCTCGTCCTCCCTCAGATCACCTTCTAAAACAGAAGCTTGAGACGTGATTAAAACAACTGCACTGTCTGGTAACTGTTTAACAGATTCACACTGGTCACGATCATAATATGCTTTGAGCATATTAATGTGACAAACACGTGTCTTACGCCTTCTGTCGGGGGTGGAAATCACATAGTCTGTATCACTGAGTTTCTTAACTACACGGTATGGTCCAGTGAACCTAGCAGATAATGCAGACCCTAGTATTGGCAATAATACCACGACCTTATCATCAGGCTGAAAAGACCGTGCCACAGCATTTTTGTCGAAACGATCTTTCATCTCTGACTGCGTGCTTTTTAGGAAGGTACGCGCAAGATCACATGCACTGTGCAGCTTCTCTCGAAAACGACTAACATAGTCAAGGACATTCTCTTTCTTCTCGCTGTTATTCTCAGTCATTTTATCTTGCAAAACCTTAAGTGGTCCTCGAAGAGTATGTCCGAAAACCAACTCGGCGGGACTAAACCCGAGTGATTCTTGCACACTCTCGCGTACTGCAAACAATACTAAAGGAATCCCTTCATCCCAGTCTTTAGTCGTATCCATACAGAACTTTCGCAGCATGGATTTTAAAGTCTGATGAAACCTTTCGATCACACCCTGGCTTTCTGGATGATAGGCACTAGAAACTCGATGCTCAATAGACAAAGATCTTAATGTTTGGGTAAACACTCGCGACAAGAAGTTTGTACCTTGGTCGGTTTGAACTACCTTCGGGAGTCCAAACGTGGAAAAGAATTTAGTCAAAGTTTTCAGAATAACAGGAGCCGTAATTTTTCGCAATGGAACAGCCTCAGGAAATCTAGTCGCTCTACACATTATTGTACATAGATATTGATTACCTGCTTTCGTTTTCGGTAATGGTCCGACACAGTCAACCAATACCTCTTCAAACGCTTCTCCTATAACCGGAATCGGAGACAGTGGAGCGGGTGAGATGACCTGGTTCGGTTTTCCTGCAATCTGGCAAGTGTGACACGTACGACAAAATTTTGCAACGTCTCGTTTCATCCCAGGCCAAAAAAAATACTGAAGAACACGTTGGTAAGTTTTTGTTATCCCCAAATGTCCAGACAGTAAATGTTCGTGTGCCAAACACAACACCTGAGAACGATATTGGGTTGGAACTACTACTTGATAGATCACGTTCCAATCCAAATCCTCCTCAACCTTAGAACACCACTTACGCATTAGTAAACCCTTGTCTACGAAGTATGCAGTATTTCTTTTCTTGGCAGCTTCTGCGCTTACTACAGCTGACAAACACTTCCTTAAAGAGAGATCATCGTTTTGTGCTTTAACGATCTGCGAACGAGTTATGGGTAAATCTAACGACGTCAAACCCTCTAACCAATTTTCTGACTTTTTCACCTTAGGAGCGTTTACAGAACCCCTCTCCGTTTCAGAGGTCTTTACATCATCCGCCAATAAAGGTCCCAACAGCGAGTCAGCCAAATCAACTTCGCGAACTGTAGCTGACTGAGCACGCGTAACTGCACAAGCAGAAAACACTTCAGGATGCAAACTAATTACATCATCACTAACTGAGCAAACACACGGAGCATCGGTCACCTCTGGAGCTGGCAAAACTTTGCCTCCAGCCAAATCGTTTCCTAAAATGAATGTAATTCCTTTTACAGGGAGTGAACTACGAATTCCAACTCGCACAAGCCCTGAAACCAGTGTACATTGTAAATGCACCTGATGCAAAGGCACAGACACAACCTGCATTTCGATCCCACGAATCAAAATATTTGAGCCACAGTATGATGCATCAGAGAACGGTAACGCGTCAGATAGCATAATAGACTGCATGGCGCCTGTGTCTCGAAGAATAGAGATTTTTCTGCGATCCTCTTCCTTTCCAGACAACGAAACAAATCCTGGCATAACGAAAGGTTCATAATTTGCATCAAAACTCTCAGTACAACATGATGGTTCGGACGATACAGTCTTCACGAACGCAACACTTTTCGGGTCTCTAGACTGCTGTTTACGCAGCAACACCGGGCAATCAGCAATCAAATGTCCGAATTTATGACAATAAAAGCAATCCTTTTTCTCTTTTGAATTCGGCACACCAGATTTTTCCCGAATAGAACCCTGAGCTCGAGATGAAGAACCAGTCACGCTCTTTTCAGTACGTGACACGGAAAATACACTCTTATGAGTAAGCATAAACTCATCTGCTAGAACAGCAGCGGGTGCCAACGCATTAACCTTCTGTTCGTTCAAATAGACGACCACACGCTCAGGTAAACAACTCTTAAACTCCTCAAGAAGAACTAATTCCCTTAAGGAGTTGAAATCATCAACTTTAGTTGCACTACACCATTTATCAAAAAGGAGAGCCTTCTCTCTTGAAAATTCAACAAATGTCTGAGTCGGGCTTTTCTTATGACCTCTAAATTTCTGTCGGTATGCTTCTGGAACTAACTCGTAAGCACGTAAAATTGCCAATTTCACAGCGTCATAATTCAAACTATCCTCTAAGGACAGAGTCGAGAAAACCTCCATCGCTTTACCAACTAACCGGCATTGCAGTAACAAAGTCCAACAGTCTTTTGGCCAATGAAAAGACACAGCAATGCGCTCAAAGGCACTAAAGTAAGAATCTACTTCGGTCTCACGAAAATGTGGCAGTAGTGTAACATTTTTACCAACATCGAACGACTCAGTTGCTGCGGAGGGAACAGTCACTGGAGCAACAGCGGGAGTAGGCACCACAACAGGAGCACGGGCAGCAGTGGCAGCACCAGCGGAACTAACCCGAGGGGAGTCTGGTCGCGCAGCGGAGCCCCCCACAATTCGCATTGCGTCAAGCTCCAGCTGTCGCATTCTGACCTGCGTATCCGCCTCGATTTCAAGTTTACGAACTTGTAGTTTCAAATCCATCTCCGCCTGCCGAGCCTGCAACTTCTCCTGCGACTCAAGCTGCAAACGGGCCAAACGAACTTTCAGTTTCGCTTCCCCTTTTGAGCAGACCGACGCAGGTGAAAATGGATCAAAGGGAGGTAACCCCGCCCTAGCCTCAGCCTCCACCTCCGCCGTAGGCGTTAGTCCCCCTTCACTCATATTCCCTCTTCCACCAAACGTACCCACCTCCACACTGTCTGCAACTGTAACTACCTCCTCCGGCAACGTAAGCACATTCATCTCTACTAATCGACTATATACCACAGACTTAATTTCGTTCTTAAGAGACTGCTTTTTGACGGAAATCTGAAAATGACTTGCTATCATTAACAAATCATCCTTCCTACAGCCATCTAATTCTTCTAGCGAGGGATTCTCAAGAAACTTTTCCACACTAAACATATTATGACGCTAAACAGCCGCACTTACGAGTTCTCACCACACGCAGTGATACAAAAAAAGACGGTATCATGAACCGGTTAGATTTAATTGGATTATAATCCCGGACGAGCCCCCATTATGTTACGACCCTTCTTTGGCTCGTTCCCATCTAGGGAATTTTAGAAGGGGAACACAGAACCGGTTCAATGAAACCTCTCTATGGACCACTTAATGTGTTGAGAAAACACGAGAGACACTCAGAGATATAATGAAAAATAATTTAATAGTAAATAAGTTGGTTAACATAATATGTGAAAAAGGGCAAAAGGAAAAAGGGAAACAGGATTTGTGCCAAATAAACGAAAGTAACATAAACAATACTAACTAGACCATCTCCAATCTAAACCTAGACTAAAACAAAAGAACAAAGAAAAAGTCTTCAACGTCCTAGACGCCGTGTCTAAACTACACTAACTAATAACAAAAATACAGGGGGTGGCACAAATCTCTAACCTAGTGAATATAGACACACAGAAAAACCTAAGTGTGCAAAATGTATGTCACGTGACATTCTTACCTATTCCCTTTTCTCCTTCCCAACTAATCCAGCCTTGCAAAGCTGCTTAACAGACTCAAAATCTCACAAATGTGAAGTTTCAGGGAAAACTCGAAAGGCAAGCATAACATGACAAAATAAAGCAACACTTAACAGAACTAAATCAACTGGAGAGAAAACAAAAAAAACAAACATCTCAAAACAAAACCAAAGTCTCTCAAAGCAAACACAAAAATCTCTCTCTCTTCCCGCAGTTAGCACGCGTCTTAAGTAGGGCTTCTCCAGGTGTCGCGCATCGGGCTGATGAAGATCCCGCCTCCCAGGCAAACCCGCTCATTACGCTGATTGACAGGTGTTATAGCCAATCAGCGACGACCTGCGAAAGCGAAAGTAAGGAAGAGAGACAAAAGAAAAACACAAACCTCGAAGGAAAACAATCTAACCGTCCCTAAGGACGTAACAATAAGAAACAAATGGGGCGAACAAATTGTTTGAAAATACATTGTATTCATATATGTAATGTCCTCTGTAGTAACAACAAGAGTTGTTTAAAAACTAAAAAGACATGAAATTACATATATAGGCAAAAACAGTGGGTTCTCTTATGAGAGTTTCTCTCGTACTGCGTCATATCTTATGCTAGGGGAAAACCTCTTTTCACCACAAGATATTAAAGCCAAAAATTATCCTTAATTTTGAATTAATGTAAAACACGTTGCGGCAGCATGAAGACAGGCAAGGCGGCTTGCGTGCCCATTGGCTGTCCTGCGGCATTAGCAGCAGCCTATCGAGAGAGGCCCTTTGGTGATGGTCAAATGGGGATGTTTCGCGCTGAAGCGGGCGTGGCCTAGCCTAGCCCTAAAAATATAGCTCAATGGGCTGATATAACTGATGGTCCCACCATGCCTGCAACACGCTCTGGTTCGCTTCGGCTATGAAAAAACAGTTATATCAGCCCATCGAGCTATATTTATAGGGCTAGGCTACGCCCGCTTCGGCGGGAGTGTGACGCAAGGCCCAAGGCCCATGCATAAAGCCCATTTACTTTATGCAATATGTGGGTAAGAACTATAAACGGTATCTAAATTGCATTACAATGTGTTCTTGGGGACATGAAATGAAAAAAGAAGTGTTATAATGGGGAGTTATAATTTAAATGAATGGGCAACATTTCCATAATAATAGTTAATATTTTATAGTAATATTGATCTATAATTCCACTTGTTGTGTCTCTGGTAAACCTGCTGTAAGTCCTGGTGTTTCTACAGTGGACATTTATGAAAGTCATTTTTGATTAGAAACAGCATAACACTTTTCTGAGATGTTGATTTATGACTAGTTTTAAAATGAGTCAGATTTAAATTATAAAATATAATCATATTTCCATTAGTGCTACATTTGATCACTAAATGAATGCCAGTCATGTTTAAAGAGCAAGCAGAAGTTGTTGTCCTGGTGAAAGCTGTGAACAGTTGGTGTCTCTGAAAGGCCTGAATCTGCTCTTTACAGGACTCAGACCTGTGACGTGTGTGTGTGCTGTCAGAGAAATACACTACAGTATAGTGTGTGCTGTCAGAGAAATACTTTACAGTATAGTGTGTGCGGTCAGAGAAATACACTAATAATAATAATAATAATAATTCATTACATTTATATAGCGCTTTTCTCTGCACTCAAAGCACTTTACATAGAAGGGGGAATCTCCTCAACCACCACCAATGTGCAGCATCCACCTGGATGATGCGACGACAGCCATATTGCGCCAGAACACCCACCACACACCAGCTTACTGGTGGTGAGGAGCCAATTGACTTTATGCACAGCTGCACTACTTCCTGAACTTAAGCCAGCTGCCTTGTTTCCTGTCTGCCATTATTGGCCAAGCTTGATTAATTCAGGTGTGTCAGATTATTGTTGCCGTGACTACTGAGGTCAGGCACACCTGAACTAATCAATTTGGCCAATAATGGCAGACAGGAAACAAGGGAGCTGGCTTAAGTTCAGGAAGTAGTGCAGCTGTGCATAAAGTCAATTGGTATATATATATATGGGGAAGATTAAAAGGCCATGATGGACAGAGGCAAATTTTTGTTTTTTTTTGTGACCACAGAGAGTCAGGACCTCAGCTTAACGTCTCATCCGAAGGACAGTGCTCTTTGAGTGTATAGTGTCCCCATTACTATAATGGGGCGTTAGGACCCACACATAGCACAGAGCACCCCCTGCTGGACTCACTAACAACTACAACTATAGTATAGTGTGTGCTACTGCTGTCAGAGAAAAACACTACAATATAGTGTGTGCTGTCAGAGAAATAGACTAAAGTTTAGTGTGTGTTGTCAGATAAATACACTACAGTAAAGTGTCCAGTACAGTATAGTGTGTGCTGTCAGATAAATACACTACAGTGTATAGTGTGCTGTCAGAGAAATACACTACAGTATAGTTTCCAGTCCACTACAGTATAGTGTGTGCTGTCAGATTAATACACTACAGTATAGTGTCCTCTACAGTATAGTGTCCGTCCAGGAGCTTCAGTTCGCTTTGTGTTTTGGCAAACACGGTCAGTGTTTATCATTGAAACAACACAGGCCTTCTTACACACAAATAACAAACGACAGATCCCAGTCTATAAGAGAAAAGCCCACTAATATAATATTCATCCACGCACATGATGATCATCACCTGCATTTCACATCACTCGTGTTTTCTGAAACATTACTTTAATTTTACTGGCCAACACATTAGATAGCTATGGCTGTGTTAATACGGCACATTTAATAAATAAACAAATGCATGATGCAACAGCCACACGATATCTTTGTGTTTTGTTTTTACGTCAAGCTCATTCAAACAAAGTTTAACAAACTGAATCATTTCCGCCCATATGCGCTACATAGAACTGACATTTTCACAGAACAACACGTCACATATTAATAAAGGAATATTATTATTCATACAGGTCATGTGTGAAATATGAGCTTACATCCATCTGCAGAGGTACTAATCTCAGCCGACATTTCTCTGAGACCACGAATCCCTTCGGTAGATCAATGTACTGACCCCATTCCTCCGAGAAATACTGAAGCACCAGTTTACGATGAACATCGATCTGACGCCCGTAGATAGACAGAAACTTTTGGATGAGCACTTCATATCCCGAGCCCACGGGCACAGACGAGGGCCGAGAGGACACGGAGAAGGAGAATAACACAGGGACCTGCTGGCTATTGCTGCTGTGTGTGTCCGCCATGATCCTGTGAATCAAGAGTGATGTCCGACTCACAAATGAATTGTTCTGAAGAACCGATTCATAAGAATCGAGCTAATAAAGTTGTGAACTGGGGCCTGTTCTTCACTCAGTCAGTTAGCTGGATTTGGGGTTGTGATTTGCCATGATCTTGGATTGTTTGGTTCTTCGACACATCCTGGACTTGCTGTCATAGAAACAGGTCCGTTAGCTTGAACCTGCTCTTATTTAAACAGGATAGATCGCGGCTGAATCGGGAAGTCCTTTAGCGCAGCGCAGCGCGGTACTAGCGGCAGTGCCTAATTTCTGAGAATTTTTTTTCTCATGAAAAGATCGTCGTGAGGGTGTCGTTTATACGTTAATATTTTGTTGGAAATACACATTAATGTTCGATTCGATATCGGGCTTTAACAACAGCGCAACATGTTTGCATTGCCAAAAAAATCTTTGCGAGTGGCGCTCTTTCCGATGCGGAGAACTTGATAAGTGCTCTGTCGTGGCATTCGATTAGGCTTATATAAATGTGCAGCCAAGTTACTTTTATATTTTTTAAAATTCCAGATTAATAATATTATATCATTTTTTAAAAAGACAGTTGACTTAGTAAAATCTCTTAGATGGTGTGTGACTATGTTCCATCACAAATCAATGTGAAAGCAAAATGGCCAGGATCTGTGCATGACTCAAGAATTTTCAGAGATTCACATTTATACACATTATTTGAACGTGGTAAGGAAAATTATACATATCAAGCTCACTGTATTATATACACTTTTGCTGATCCTAAAAGAACTGCAATTTCTATTATACAGGTGATGGTAACAGGATCCAGCTTGGAGACAGGTGTTTTATGACCCCATTCCCTGACCCAAACCCCAGACCAATTACAATGCAGCTCTAGCCAGGACAAGGGCACAATTAAATGAACTCAACTAATGGGAAGATTTCAGCATCTGACGGGGCCTGTGACATTGCATTTGCCATATTACACAACATTGCCAACATCAGAAAAAAAGAAACGTTTCATTAAGCCTAAATGTTTAATAAAAGACAAGACAAATTTACGCAGTTCCTTGAGTTTTATTTCAATAGTTCTTTGTAAAGAAAAACCTGTTATTCCGTCATCTTTTGCCTGCAATAAGATATATTATTGAAGGTCAGTAATAGTGTATTTTACTCTGAAGTTGTGGAGGTTACTCTAGACTTATAGGGAACGAATTTCACCCTGTGTCGTTTGTCACACATGCCTCATGCTACTGTACAAACAAAAAGGAAAAGTTGTCTTTAAAGTGCCCAGCTCTGTATCACTGCTTTTTGTAGACTCTTTTGTGCTGGGACTCAGAAATAATAGGCATACAAGTATAAATCAATTAAAGTTATTTATGCTCTTGCAGGTAGTCTACTTCCTCCAAAGGACAGTCATCTGAGAAGGTTTCTTTACTCTGCAGTGCAATGTGATTAATAACACATGGCAAGATATTTTTACATTAAAGGGGGGGTTGATTGCGATTTCACTTTTTTGATTTTAAATAGTGTGTAATATTGCTGTTGGTGCATGAACCAAAGTTGCAGCACTGAAAGTTCAGTGTAAGCAGAGATATCGGGTGCTTCTCAATATCCCTCCTCGTCTCCTCGCTCCTCCGTCCTCCCTCCTATGACCCGGAAACCGATCGAGCTCAGCCATCTTGAAGGACATCTCAATTCTCTAATTGCACCGTGAGGAGTCGAGGATCGAGGAGATAGGAGGCTTCCTGAGGAGTCATAAGCGAGGATACACAGGTGCATCCTACGCGGAACTGTTATATTGACTCAACGTGACGCACGTGTCAATTCTCCTCCCACTTTACATCGGTCACAATCATTTTAATTTATACTTTACCTTTGCAGTTTATATAAACCACACATCTCAGATATTTCAACAGTATAGCCTATCTTTATTATTATTTATTATGAATTTATTAAATAACCAAACTTCAACATCATAAGGGCAGATCCTTTTAGCGCTGCTGATGACACTGTGGAGTGACGCTCGAGTGATCAAGAATTCCAATGGATATAAAAAAGCTTTTATTCGATTCCTCTGTCCTCCTTTCCTTTCCTCGCTTCCTTCCCTCGCGTCCTACAGGGGGTGGAGCTGAGACGCAAGGAAAGGAAACAAGGAAAGGAAACGAGGATGCACAAATAAGAAATGAGAAGCACTCATCGTCTTTTAAAAACCAGGAAGTATATTGCCTACAAAAATGACTCGATTAGGACTACAGCAGGGTTTTAGACGTCACTAACCCATACATTTGCATCAACCCTCCCTCCGGAATATGCAGAAAAGGGCATGCGCATATTTCTGCGGCTCGTCGAGTGTGACGCTGTACTTCGTCAACAATGGATACAATTTATGTTTGATTATGTTCCTTAAAATGACGATCGTAATCTAGCTCTCTGTGCTGCGCATTTTACGAAAGACAGCTTCCAGAATCTCCACGAGTTCAATGCCGGATTCAACAAGAAACTGTTACTAAAACATGAAGCAGTTCCAACTTTAAAACCAGAGGCAGCAGTTGTTGGGCCACAACCTGTAAGTAGTAGCCTGACTTCGTCATACTCATATTCAAGAGAGAATATGAGTCTGAAACTCCTCCGTTGGGCTTTGATTATGAGGCGTGTCGTAACCGAACCAGGAAAAAAAAAAAAAAAACCTCTGCACTCAATTGGATAGTAGACCTACAAGTAAGTCAAGTCCTTTGCATAGCGCAGTTTTCAAATACAGAACGTGGCCTAACTTTATTTATTTTAGAAGTTAAATAACGAGTGTTGCTTCTTTTACTTACTTCTCCATGAGTGCCACCAAAGGAGAAACCACAACGACCACAGGCTTTTCATTACGTCCCATTTTCTTAACGACCATCAGAGCCAGCTGATAAGTTACACTTTTCCCGAATCATGTAGGAAGGACGCCAAAAATATCTTTCCGATCGACAAATGCCTTGATTGCAGTTCTCTGTTTGTCTATTAAAATGAATGCGCTGTCGATTTATTTTACAAAAGACGCGACAGTGGAATCTATACATCTCAATTCTCCCGCTGCAGTCATCTTTGACAAGCGCTCTTTGATAACGTGATGATTACGTCCCTGCAGATCATCTGTCCATCATCGTATAAAGCCCGCCCTGGCAATTTGATTGGCCTGATCATTTTTTGACTGATCATAATTACTCCTCAATGGATCGAGTCCAGACTGAACTTCCCGACCAAAAAATGTTGTGGGCGGAGTTCGGGCTGGCATCCAGGCTATGTAAGTAGGCTAATGCTGCGTTCACACCGAACGCGAATAGCGCGTCAAATTCGCGTCTGACGCGTCTAGTTTGACACTTGACCACTTTGTGTTAATTGACTTTATGCACAACTGCATTACTTCCTGAACTTAAGCCAGCTCCCTTTTTTCCTGTCTGCCATTATTGGCCAAATTGATTAGTTAAGGTGTGCCTGACCTCAGTAGTCACGGCAACAATAATCAGACACACCTGAATTAATCAAGCTTGGCCAATAATGGCAGACAGGAAACAAGGCAGCTGGCTTAAGTTCAGGAAGTAGTGCAGCTGTGCATAAAGTCAATTTGCGTGTCAAGAGTGAAACTGACGCGCGTAAAAACAAAAGTTTGAAGCGAAATGTACGAGCGTGATGCAAGTCAGAATCGAAATCCATTGGCGGCCATTGTTTTTATGTCGACCGAGCATTCATCATGAGAGTTACCGCTCTCTATTTACTCTGGAGAGCAGTACAATGGCGTGGGGATCATCATCGCCATATATTTGTGTCCACCGGACCCTTCGGAGGTGAACCGTTTGGTGAGTATTTGCACGCTCCAGGAGCTGCGCTGGATGACGGCCGCTGTCAGCGGTACTTCCGCCTGTCATGCACCCACTTTGATGACCTGTTGTCCTGCATCGAAGCGAGGATCACCCTCGCCCTTTATCCATCTAATCTAGCTGTCATTTATTTTTGTTTTGATGATAAATAGAGCCAGCCTTCAAAAGTTATTAACCTGTCCTGTGATTATTTTCTCACGTCCAGACACGAACTTATGCACACATGTATGTTGGTTGTCTTTACATCACAATAATATTTCATATAATCTCGATATGGAATAACATTCAATACAAAATTATTATATATAGAAATAAAGTTATAAGTGATAAAATATTTGCGTTGTTGTGCATAATCCCACCATGCATTTAGTCATATTAAAAATTAATTTATTGAAGCATCCATACTTCACCACGTGAGCAAGAAGCTAGGCTCCTGATTGGTTAACGTGGCGCGAATCGTGGCGAAACATTCTTCAATGAGACTGTATGTATGACAACTGAATTTACTCGTTCTTGTGTAACATCATGCTTTCTCTTTTTCAGATTTCAGAGAACCCAAAGGAAAAGAGGCAGAAGTGCAAGACAGAAAAACCTAAAAACCTGAACCGTTGGATCACATGGACAAATGCTGAAGTGCTTTCCCAGACAGTAAACTGACATAGAATCAACGTGGAAACGACGTCTCTCATGACATTGAAACAACGTTGATTTGCTCATCGAATTAACGTTGAACCAACATCAGACGCGGCATTCTTCAAAGCTAAATGAAATCGAAAATTGGTTTGCTTTCATAACGTTGAAACAACGCGTTGATTTCAAGTTGATTTTCCGTTAGTTTTGAAAGAATGACGCATCTGACGTTGGTTCAACGTTAATTCGATGATCAAAACAATGTCAGATCAACGTTGTTTCGATTTCATATTTCCACGTTGATTCAATGTCAGTTTGTTATCTGGGTTTGTCCTGTTTCTGCCCCTTTCCTTTTTAAAGAATAATCTTTTAAAGGGTTAATTCACCCAAAAATGAAAATTCTGTCAGTATTTACTCACCCTCATGTTGTTCCAACCCCGTAAGACCTTCGTTCATCTTCGGAACACAAATTAAGATATTTAAGATATTAGTCCATAGGCTTCTTGAGGGAATGACTTGCTGACCTCGAAAAGTCATTAAAGACATC